CTATAGGTAATTTGTATATATTCTAGTCTATTTTTGAGGTTTTGAAGTACGATTTTGAGCACTTCATTTTTTGTGATTATTCTTGTTGTGATTATCTTAGATTCTTGGTCTATTGTTTTAGGACATCTAAGGCTGATTGTTTTAATCCTTTGGATAAATGGTTGATATAATTTTAGAAAGTTATTTCCTATTATTATATCTAGTCCTGAGTCATGTTGATAGATTGTTTTAGCTGTGAAGATATGTTTTTCAATGATTATTGGTACATATTGTTTTACATACCAAATTTCATGGATAGATTTGTCTGCCACTATAATTTTTAAAGGTTTTTCAAGTTTATCCCATTTTTTTATGGTTGATTTTTTGGCAAAACATAAGGTTGCCCCTGTATCAATATATGCTAAGAAGCTTTTCTTCTCTATTTCAATTTTAATGAATGTTGCGTTAGGATTGCCCTTAGTTAATACCTTCTTCTGACTCATCTGAAGAGGTTTCTGAGGTTGAAATATATTCGATAATGTCTATATCGGAAAGTTCAAAATCTGTTTCTTCGATTGGTTCAAAACCACAATCGTAAGCTAATCTAAGGACTTCTTGTTTTCTAGTGTTAGTATTTTTCTTAGGACATTTATTTGCGTAATGTCCTTCTTCGTTACATAACCAACATCTACAATTTGTTTTTCCTTTAGGACAGTATTCTTGTTGTCTTGATTTTTGTTTAAACTGTTTTCTATTTCTGAAATATTTATTCGGTTTTCTAAACCTATTTTTTCTGTATTCTTTATAAGGTATTTTTCTCCATTTTTTATAATTTCTATATTTTTTCCGAGTTTTAATGATCTTACGATCATCATTACACCCATACTTTCCAACTCTGTCCATTGTTTGTTCACAATAGAGTTTAATTTTAGCTTCTCTCTTTAGTTTTTCTTTATTGCAAGCTTGTTTATGCCATTCTTGTAAAACTAATATTCGTCCTCCTAATGTATTTGATATCTCTTCTTTAGCCAAAGTTTCATTAAAGGTAGCTTCAACTTTTTCAGAGACATTAGGTGGTAATTTAGCATAGAGTAATTTATCTAGCTCTTTTCTTATCGAAGGGGTGACTTGATAATAGTGTGTTCTGAATTCACAAATAAATGGTTCTAAGAAACACATGTTGCAAATTCTAAGATTAGTTAAATGCCAAATAGCTTGTTGACTTATGGTTGTGTTTGGTTTATCTTCTCGAGGATGTCGTCCTAAGAATTCATGAGTTATTGCATTTAAGACTTTTTCAAAGGTACTCGTTGCATCCGTTGTTCCATATAACGTTGTCTTAGTAGGAATATCCATGTTGTTAAGATAATGATAAACTGCCCCTGTTGTTTTATATATTAAGAAATTAAACATTTCATTAGGGTGTAATTTCTTTAGATCTTCATTCGTTTGTATTAGTAATCCTGTTCGATTTTTCCAGTCTTCTAATTCTTTTAATGGATTGACGCAACAATCAAGATCTAATATATCAGGACTGTTAAAACTAGTGGTGGAATATTTTGGTATGTAAGATTGAGGTATTTTACTCCATCCTCCCCCTTTGCGAGGTGTATACGAATTTTTATATAAGTATTCATCAAAAAATAGTTGACCATCTTTATAGTCATTAAAATCACGCTTTCGTGATGTTTCAGCTTGATCCTCAGTTTCAGTTTTCGTATAATTTGTATTTGTGTAATTTTTATAGGGGTTTTCGTCGCTACTATAGTCAAGAACTATTTTATCGTTTTCTATATTTTCTTCTATCTCTGGTTCTGATTCAATAGTAATTGCGGCTAGTAAATCGTTTAATTTATTAATTTGTTCGTCAATACTAGTCATAGAAGTTTGTAGGGTGTCATGATAGTTAATGGGCTAGATTTTCCTGATTTATGCTCATTCAAATATTCTTTTATATCTTCAATTGTAATGCTCCTTTTATTATCTAATTTAATTATTATTTTTTGAAGTTTAATAATGATTTCCTTAAGATCTTCTACTGGTAATACTATTTCCTTAGAATTTGGAGTTGTTTTTCCCATTGCTATTTCTCTTTGTTTTATATCCACTATTATATTGGTAATCGTATCCTTAGCGTGTTCTAAATCTGAATATATATCTTTTTGTTTTTCATTACCTTGATATTCTAATATTGATTTTAATTGTTTATTATTGTCTTCTAATATATTTATTAGATTTCCTTGATATTCATCTATCTTTTTTCCTAATTTTTCTAGTTTTATCGAAATATTTTCAGTAGCCATAATTTTGTCTATAAGGTGGATATTAGTTCAGCCATTTTAGATACGAGTTAGTATCTGCTAACAAAAGGGCTTGTTAGCATTTTAACTTTTGCGCTTATATTCACCATAGTCACACACGATCTAATCCTAAAGAGTTTGGTCACATTTCTGAATTTTTTCTACTAGAAGATTTTAAGAATTATTATCTTTGTGTTAAAAATGATAAGCTATTTTGTGGATTAAACGAAACTTATGAATTAGGTGAATTGACGTTGGAGACAAAGTTGAATCTATCATATCCATGGACCATGAGTCTATTCGCTTCTCAAAATTGTATTGATTTTACTGGTTGCAATTCCAAGTATTGAGAGGGCGTTTTCAGCTACGAGTTCTATCAAGAACAAGTTTCAAAATCGAATAGACAATTAATTTGTGAATGATTGTCGTCTGACTTTTGTTGTAACTTGTAGTTTTGTACTAGTAAAATATTCTTCTTATTTAAGAATTTTTCAAAACATCGCATATAAAATTTCTGGGTCCATTCGGGTTGAACAAGTGAATAGATTTGCGGATCTTTTCGTTTACTCTAGGCTACTACAAAGTTAATCTGCTAACTTGAAAATTCGTTAGCAGATACTAACTGATATCCAAAATACATGAACTAGTATTCAAGTACTAAAGTATCTAGAGAGCACAGACTAGTATTCAAAGTTTGCTAACTGATATCCACCATGAATCAACTATTATCCCAAATTCACAAACTAATATCTGGACAACACAGAATAGTATCCATATAACACATAATTAGTATCCCGATAACACTTAAGAGTATCCAGATAACACATAAGAGTATCCATATTGAATACTAGTTGGTTGATTGTGGATATTAGTTGGAATATGCTATCTGAATACTAGTTTGTGATGTTTTGAATACTAGTATGTGTTATCTAGATACTCAGCAGCCTTGGATATTAGTTCATATATTTTGGATATTAGTTAGTATATACTAACGAATTTTCAAGTTAGCAGAATAACTATACTGCGACTACTAGTCACGGCACAGGAAAACAAACCCCAAAAGTCCAATTCCGTCCTGCCCGCCGTGGACTGGAGACTGCGAGTGGGAATAAAGCTTAATCTCGTCGTTCACCGTCGCTGGCCTGGCCCTAGTCCTACTCACTGTAGTGTACTCAAGCTTGGAAGATCTGGAACTCGACCAGTGGCGGACCTAAGAAGGGGCAGGGTGTGTCGTCCGACACACCCTCGCTCGAGAATTTTAAGAAGGACCTACATATTTTTGGTACAAATTTTTTTACTTTGGGATAGCCGACACACCTTCAATAATTATAGCCGACACACCTTCACTATACTCGAAGAAATTATTATCCAAATGAATCAATCTTAATCATAATCCTTTTTAATTTTTTAAAAATAACTCCTAAAACATAATCATATCCTTCATATAAAAAAAAACACTCTCAACCCATACAATATAGTGTTGGGCTGGCTGGGCTGGGCCTATAATTAAATAGAGAAAAAAAAATCAAAGGTCAAATTGGCAATAGCCCAGTCGGCCACCTCCTCCCATTAGTAGTCCTTCCCTCTCAATCCAATTAATGGCCCAATCCCCAAATTAATGGCCCAATTGCCATTTCCCTGTCCATATCCCAAGCCCCAGCGACCCATCCCATTATTCCCTCTGTTCCCTCTTCTCTCGCACGCAAGTCGCAAAAAATAAAATCCCCAGACCCCAAGCGAACCAAAACCCAGGCGAAGGCAGTTGCGGCAAGTCGGCACGGCAACCCAGGGAGGCCTCGGCGGACATCCATTCACCGGCGGGCAGCGCGGCGGCGGCAACTCCTCGTAGCCGGTGAAGTGGGCACTTCTTGTAGCTAGCCAAATGTAAGTAATTTTACTGTTATGAACCCTAAATTGCAAAGTTTAGGGGTTCTTCTTTTTTTCCCATTTAACCTAAATTTTATTTGTCAATTTGTAATTCATGGATGAATTGAATGAATTTGTTTATAAGCTAATTTATGTTGTACTCTGTATCAAGACATGGAGAGATTTTACCCAAAGGTCCCAAAGAAAGCCAAAACTACTCCACAAATTAACAATTTAGGAGGAGAATCAAGTAAAAGGAAGCATGATGATTCTCAATCTTCCTCGCCATCGATTAATCAAACAAGTGGCATCTCAAGTAAGTTTTCTTCATTTCCTCAAGAACATGAGAATGATGTGAACAAATTGGAAGCCGATCCGGGGTTGAGGAGAAAGTTTTCAACTTTCCCTATTAATATGCAAGATGAGATTAGAAGAGCATATCTGATAAAGGGTCCTTGTCAACCAAAAGGTTCTTTATCCTTTAGTTTACTTGCTGTTAAAGTTGGTGTTGACCTTACCTGTGGCAACTGCAAGCTGCGAAAGAGCATTTTCAGCTATGAAGATAATCAAGAACGATCTTCGAAATCGGTTGAGTGACCAATTTATGAATGATTGTTTAGTTGTGTATATTGAAAAAGATTTACTTTGCAGCATAAGTGATGAATGTATTTTAGAGACATTTCAGCAGATGAAAAGTCGTCGCGGTTCGTTGTAAACATGACATTGTGAACTTTATGAATTAATTTCTTTTAATTTTTACTTAATTTTTAATTTAATTTATTTTAATTATTATTGTATTTTATCAGCGACACACCTCTCCGACAATCCTGGGTCCGCCACTGAACTCGACTGAAGCTTAAACGTAGGTCAATACTATTCGAGATCATGGGGCTTCTCAGCATGATAAGAAAGATCAAGAGGAAGGAGAAGGAAATGCGTATTCTCATGGTGTCCGTAGCTCGCTCGTTCACCTCCTTTTCCACTTCTCCATTTCTAATTTAGCCCCCCATCCATGGCAGCTCGAAATCCAATCGGGATTCTCCCGTCGTCTCCATCCATTTTTTCTTTCGCGGTGCGTGCAGCGGCCTGGACAACTCGGGGAAGACGACGATTGTTTTGAAAATTAATGGAGAAGACACCAGCGTCATCAGTCCAACACTGGGCTTCAACATCAAGACCATCACTTACCACAAGTAAGAAATAATCCCCCCTAAACCCTAATTTCAATTCGCACCCTGTTTCCTGATTGCGGTCTAAGGGGAACTGCCATTGTTATATGTCTGCAAGGTATCTGTTGAATATATGGGACGTTGGTGGGCAAAAGACGATAAGATCGTACTGGAGGAACTACTTTGAGCAAACCGATGGCCTGGTTTGGGTTGTGGATAGTTCAGATCTTAGAAGGCTAGGTGATTGCAAAATGGAACTCGATAACCTCTTGAAGGAAGAGGTGTCAATCTTGTTTCTCTCGGCCCATTTTTGCTGCTGCCTAATTTCAGTTTCTAGCCTTTGGTAGTCATAAGCTGGTTGCTGTTTCTGATTTTGGCAGAGGCTATCTGGAGTGTCTTTGCTGATACTTGCTAATAAGCAAGACATCAATGGGGCTCTTACACCGGACGAGATTGCCAAAGTACTACGAAAGCTTATTTTGATAGTGGAGCTATAATGATCACAATGCATTTTGACATAGGAGAATTTCTGTGTTCTTTTTACTTTCTGGGTTTACTAACTCTGGTGTGATGCTTTTGTAGGTATTGAACTTGGATAACATGGATAGAACCAGACATTGGAAGATCGTCGGTTGTAGCGCTTATACGGGTGACGGGCTGCTCGAGGGGTTCGACTGGCTAGTTCAAGACATCGCCTCTAGAATCTACGTGGTTGACTAAATCGTAAGCTGCTACCTAGGACCATTTGTTGTTGGTTTCCTTTCGTATTTGTAATGAGTTTGTATCTTGGAATCGAGGGTCAGCTCCAAACTTGTGCTGCTTAGTGCTAAAATGAGGTAAAACTGTGTTTCATTCACATTCCAGAATACAGCGCCCTCTTACATTTCACAGAGTTACACATGTGCAGCCAATTTCAATGGATTTCATCACAGAATCCAGAACAAGCTGAGTCTTCCTGCAAATCTCAGCCCACTTAACATCAGGCGGCGACCCCGCCTTAATCCCCTGAACAAGCCTGGCAAATTCCTCAACCATCAAAACCTCCTGTGAAACTTCATTCACAACTTCAACCTTCTCGGGCTTCACGTTCCAACCCAGATCCCGTTCCACGAACTTAGCCATCCAAGTGAAGTTGAACTCAGCGGATTGCTCCTTGTACGGGAGTATGAAGTCCCCTAAATACAGAGACCCATTGACGCCAACAATCTCCAATTCCATGGTGAGATGAGAGAGGAAAGAGCAGTGGATGATCCCGACCGTGTTGTCTTGTTCGTAGTGCAGCTGTGCAGAACAGGAGAGAATGACTCCGGTAGAGCTTTTGGTGATGTCGGGTAAAGCGGTGACAGAACTGGGGAGGTGGAAGTCTTTCGCCCACAATACCGCTCCTATACCGTACCAGCCCAGTTCCCCAAGCGCCCCCATGGTTTCCATTGCTGGCTTCCCGGCGGGGACTGAGGTCTCGAAGAATTGACGCGGGATGAAAGCTGTTGATGTTGTATGAATCTGCAGAGCCATAGAGGAAAATGGCGGAATCAATAACCACACCAATGTTCAACTCCATGCGGTACTCTCGATGTTGTGAATATGTTTTCAAACATGGGGAACGAAATAAGTGAAGCATATCTTACCAGTCCAATGTTTCCGACGAGTTTAGGATCGGAGATGAGCTCCTTCATCTTGGCCGTCCGTGGGTGGTGGAGCCACATGGTGGCGTCCATGAACTGAACTACGTTCCTTTCGCAAGCTTCCAAAACCTTATCCAATTCCCCCAAATCAACGGCGCCGGGCTTCTCCATCAGCAAATGCTTCTTCTTCTCCGCTACCGCCACTCCCCACCGCGAGTGCTGCCCCACCGGCAACGGTACGAAGACTGCGTCCACGTCCGGATCGTCGACGACTTCTTCATGGCTGCTGCATATCCTGACCGTCTCCGGCAGCTCGTTTGTGACGGCGAACTGCTTGGCTTCTTCAGGGGAGGCACTGGAAATGGCGTGAAGGGTGGTGGCAGGGGATAAGAGTATGGCTCTGGTTACTTTCTTCGCTAGCCTGGAGCATCCGATGATCCCGAATCGAACCGGACAATTTTCTGCTGCCATTTCTCCCCTTCCTTTTCTTACTATTCGTTTTCTTCTATATGTCTTTCGATTTCTGGATTGTGGGTTGTTGAATGAGGGAGAAGTTGCTAAAAGCCGGAGAAACAGACAGAGACCGAGAGTAGAACGAAGCGGTGATGAGTTGGTTGTTTTTGGACCCCAACTGTGGTGAGTTTTGATAAGGTTAGAAACACACGAGAAGTTCTATGAGTTTGAGCAGGAAAAATAATGGTTTGGATTTATGAAAGATATAATTTGGTAAATTGTCTCAATTTAAGAGTTATTTATAATGAGTCAATTCGAATTATCTATTTCATTCTAGACATTTGAAATTTACTTCAGTGTTATTAAAATCGAGTTGAACTAGTCGGTCGGACTGGGACCCAGCCACCAGTCCGCTTCGGAACACCTAATAAAAACATGGAAGTGAACTTACTGGCCGGTTAGCGGTTCAAGCAGTTAACCGCTTGACCTAGCCAACCGGCTTTCAGAAGTCCAAAGTTCGCAGTCAGACGATAGGCGGTAGGGATGGCAATTGTGTCGGGTTTGCCTAAACCATCATAATTCTCCTTTTTAGATATCCAAACCTGTACCCGTCCTATACCCATGCGGGAGAAGTTTTGCAAACTCATTCCCGTACCAATGGGTTTCGGATAACCATGGGTAATACACATTCCATACATCTAACATTATTATTCCTAAAAACTTAACATATAATTTTCAATTCTAACACTAACGGGCCTACTATATCATGAAGTCAACAAAGATAAAATTATTCTTAATACAGTTCAAATTATATGACCATCCGTTAATCCATAAGATATAGTATAATATTTTTCAAATCATTATTCTCTACCTCTAATACATCTACTAAGTAATAATTAACTAAAAAAACATCTTGTTAACAAGAGGGAAAAGTCAAAAAATGAAAGGAGAATTGAAGGAAAAGAATTAGGATTTGATTTGGATCACCACTCAATTGCCTTTCTACTATTTATTTTCTTGAGTTACCTTCATTATCATTGATAGGTTACTGTAACATCCCGTTCCGGCAAAACCCATATTTCGATCGCTAGAAAGTTCGCGATTTAAAATCAAGCGTTTTGACAGTATTTCGGCGAAAATCGGATTATCAATCGATAGGATAAGTATACGTATTAATTATATATATAGTGGCGTATTCGGCGCACTCACTTTGCACCCGCCTCATAATCATCATTCTGAGCATGCGATTCATGTCAAAATGGTATCAATTGTTGCTTATGATATTATGAACAATAAGCACATGAATTTGAGAAAAAAAATCATTTAAGATTTACTTTAATTTGAAGGATTTAGGATTTAGGGCTTAGGGTTAGGGTTTACGTTTACGGTTTGGGATTTTGCTTTGGGTTTCAAAATTGAAGGTTAAGGGGTTAGGGTAATAGATTGATTTGTTATGATTCTATGCCATATCATCATGTTAGATTGAGAGTACTGATTAAAGTTCAAGATTTGATGTATTATGGACACTTTTAGAGATAGGTGCACTGAGTGCACCCAAAAAATTGAGTACACCGAAGTAGCCACCATATATATATACGCTCCATTTAAATCCCCCACCCTTCCATTTAATTCTCATTATCATGGCCTTTTTCCATTTCTCCACCGGGAGGAAACCGAGAGCAGAGCAGCGCGCGGTGAGAACAGGGGAGCTCGGGGAGAATTTCCAAAGCTCAAATTCTTGAGCACTAGTGATCCAAAAATTCCGTAAGTAATGCCTACTTCATCTATATATCGTGATTTATCGATTTAGAACTTTAAAACGAGATTTTGGTTCAAGAATTTTTTGAATTCTCGATAAGCCAAATTAGGGTTTCGGAGTATCCGGAAGCCGGACTGAGCCCAAATTTCATTTACGAGCTTCCTGCAGCGAGGTAATCAATCTTCTAGTTCTAATCCCTGAATTTCGGCAATTATTTAGGTCGGGTACCTAATCGATGAATTTAGCTCCGGCCAGGGTTTGATGTGCTTTTATCAAGAATTTGACCCGGAGCCTAGAACTAATATTGACGGGGATACTGCAGGGGATATTAGGACGGTCTCGGATTTTAATTCGGGGTTCGTTCGTGAAATTAACGTTTTAGTACGGGAAGGTTAAACCGGTGTTTGAACGACCAGAACTGGTTAGGGATTAGCATGGCATACCGGGCTTGTCATATCACGATAATTATATTGATGCTTAGAATTGACCTAGGTGAACTAGAATGGCATGATTAGGGGTGTATGAAATTTTGTGCTGTATGATATTACTGACTTGCTCTAATCGAGATGGACCTTGTTTATGCTGATGATTTCGTATATGTTGCAAATTGTGGGCTTGACTATTGATATGCCTTATGATGGTTCGAAAAGGTGATTGTGTATGATTTTTCATGATTGTTGTATTTGGATGCACATGTGGGAAAATATATATTCCCTGGTGATATAATGATGTTTAAGGAGGATGACTTGCACGAGGGTTTATCCCGAGGAAGTGCAATTATACGACTCCTGATTTACCTATGTTGAGCCAATTGTGGCCGGGTCAAGTACATGTGTAAGTAACGAATTATGATTAAGCAAGATGAGATATGAATCATGTATAAGGATATCAAGTAAGAGTGATTTGGTCTCATGGTCAATTACATAGTAATTAGGGCTCCCCATGCCATTACTCCGTTTGATATGTTATGTCACACCCCTGATGTGGTGTTGACCGTTGATTCATCATGAGATATGACCACAACCATGGTGGTGTTGAGTCCGATATGACCACATCCAGAGTGGTGTCAGGTCCGATATGACTACACCGGCAGTGGTGGGTCCGATATGACCACATCCACGAGATGTTTGGTCCGTATTCCCGGGAGAGTAATTAGCATGGGAGTAGTCAGGCGCCTATAAGTAAAAAATGATAAGACACACATGCATAAGTCAAGGTGGTTGAGTCTTTTGCCCATTGGGACATGAGGATGGTTGAGGTCCGATCCTAGTGTTTTGGCTTGTTTGCTAGATGTATGGTAGGGGTATGTTCTGTTATGAACTCACGATGCTATGATTATCTCACTCAGCTATGAGCTGACCCTCTTTTATTCTTCTTCTCTGCTTATGATATGTGTAAGCAGATCATCAACAGCAGCAGTAGATAAGTGTTAGGTGGGAGAGGAGCTAGAGTTGAAGCCAGGATGAGGTATGGTCTTCAACTATTATGTGCTTGGACTACTACTCGGGATTTTGGCCAGTGATCCACACCTTTTTGTAAAAATATTTTGAGAACGTTTTTCATGTGCATACTAGCTTCTGATGTAGTGTGAGATATCCACATGTGTGGAAAGTTGATGATATGTGTATATTATGTAAATATGTAAATTGTGATGATTATAGCATGTATCAGTATAGTATGCAGTTGTATAGTATGAAACTGTGACTATGGCTATGAAAAGCCAATGCATATGGTTGTGAGTATATATGTTTGTGATGAATTATTTTGCAAGATAAGTTGCAAGAACTGTTAGCCCATTATGCGAGTAATTCATGTCGAAATTTTATTTGGGTAAATTTTGATAATCAATGTAACACCCAAGATTAATTCCGTTGCAATTGTATGAACAATATGATTAGGCAAAACGTATAGGTAGGGTGTTACAGTTACAATTTGATCCATGTAATTTTAGGGCGTTACTACTTATCGCCCTAAGTATTCAAATTTAATGCCCTAAACCTACAAAAATTACAATCTTACCCTTACCCATCCCATCAATCCAATATGCTCCTCCTTTCTCCAATTTACCCTCCGATTATCATCAACAAGGAAGAACGGTGATAGACGGTCTGCAATGGTTTATTCCAGAGCATATCGTACTGAACCAAACAGACATCTAGACTAAACCAAATTGACCAAATCTCATGTGGTTCGGTCCATGGTCTTATGAATTTTATGAATACTTAAGGAAAATCAACCTTATTGATATTTGATGTAAAAAAAAAACTTATTGATATTTGATCTGGACAAACCCAGACCACAATAGACCGATTGCAATATTGATCCGGTCCTTGGTCTTAATTTCTTTTACTTTTCTACCACGGTTCTCAAGGTTTTGTCTGATTTGGTTCGAACAACCCATTGCACACTAATAGGGTAAAATATCTCGGGTAACACTAAAGTATGAGAATTTGGGGGAGGTATTCCACTTAAGTAAGAATAGGGAGTAGGGTACAACTAATATTTTATTCCGTACTCTTATATATGAAATACCTTTAAAATGATTTCAAAACTAGTTTATGGACTTTTACTAGGCTTAACACCGTTTACTTGGACTTTTGTGCAAAAAAATTTTTTTTTGTTAAAAACTACAATATTTGGAGATCTAATGCGTTGTCTTTTAAATGTTTAGAGTAGCTTTTGACGCATTGGTTTCAACCAATGCCCACTTCTAATTTTTACTCCCCTCTTTCTTCCAATGTATTTCTACTCCTGTAGACTACTTCTAAGTACATCCACAATGGCGGAAGGAAAAAATGGTGGGAAAAGAGGGTGGGGGAAGGATTTGGCCACAATAGGTGGGAGGGAAAAGAGGGTATTTTCTATTTTATTTTTTTGTAAAATCAATCTAGAGTTGATATGATAACTTTATTTTGATAACTTATTCATTATTTTTATATAGATAGTAATAATTAATTAAAAAGTACATTTCGATATAACTTTTTTTAATTTTGATATAATTTTTTTATCACTAATTAAGTATGGCGTCATCAATGACGAGTCACAATAATTTGCGGATTCCATGACTCATCATATGTTTCACAGAATGAGTGGTTCCATCAATTTTTTGACCATCTTTAATTATATTGAATGGTTAAATCAACTGTTCATCCAAATTTAGTCAGAATGACATGTGTCATCAGCTGTTCATCCAGCTTTAATCATATTGAGTGGTGTCATCAACTGTTCATCCATTTGTCATATTATTGCTGGAGCATCTTTTTCGTGTTTCTATAAATGAAGGATAAACGTTGTCAATCCATTCATCACACCTTTCAAACTTTTTCATTCTCTCAACACACATAAACTTCTTTTTCATCATGAGTTCCCCTAATAGAGAAGCCGATGAGAGGCATCAGGAAGATGATGCTAGGCAATGGGAGTATGAGTGTAAGCTTGACCGTGATCGTCAACAGATGATGGCGATGGCATGAGCCTTCATGTTCTAAGAGGAAGCATCCTCATCTCGACATCGTTCACATTCACATA